GGTCGGCGCTCACGCGCTGGTCACGGCGCTCGCCCTCGCGCCCGGCGGCCCGTCGAAGGACGCGGCCACGGCCCCTGGCAGCGCGGAGCACAAGAGCGCATCGTCAGGCAGTGGCGCGGGCAGCCCGAGACGTGGGGTCCAGAGGCGGGCGGGGCCCAGGGGCGAGCGGGGTTCTGTGGGCGTCTGGTCCCGAGGCGGGCGGGGTCCCCAGGGGTGCGGGGTCCTGAGGGGGGATCCTGGGAGGCGCGGGGTCCCCGGGACTGGGTCCCGGGTGGGCGGGGGCTGCTCGCCGCGCCGGGGTCGCCCCGGGGGCACGGGTGAGGCAGGGCCGGTGACGAGCCCCGCGGCCCCCGACCCCGAGGCCCCTCGTCGCGTGTCCCTCGCCGCCCCCGAGGTGAGGACCGGGGCCCGGCGCCGGCGCCGACACCGACGTTCCCGCGTGGGCCGCGGCGGGCAGCGAGGCGCCGAGCCGGCAGGTGAGTCTGCAGGTCGGGAGTGTCCGCGAGGGCTTCAGCCGGCGGCCAGGCCTGCGGGTCCCCTGGGAAGGCCCCGCCCCGCTCCCGGGAACCGGGACTGCTCCGCGGGGTCAGAGCGGCCGAGGTGTGTTTTATTTTTACTGACACTTTCAAACGTCGCAGTGTCTGCTGCTTGAGAATTTAGAGACGAGTTTCTCCGTGGGAAGAAAGCAGGAGACTTTCCCGCCGCAGCGTGTGCTTGGGAGAAATGTTTCCTGTTAACTTTGCAGCTTTTTCCGTCTGGCTTTAGCTGGCCTGTCGGATTTTATTTTTTTAGTCTGAGTTAACGTATTTTCTCACTACCCTGGCCTTGGGGACACGGAGGGCTTCCCGGAGGGATGGATGGAAGCAGCTGTGCCGAACGTCTTACCAGGCTCCATGCCCTGTGATCCCATTTGTCTGACGTTCGCGCGAAGGGACAGGGAGCAGAGCAGTGGTCGCCGCGGGCCGGGGAGGGGTGGACTGTAAAGTGACCTGGGAATTTTAGGGACTGATGGAAGCACTCTGTCTTGATGGTGGCGGTGTTCACCCAACTGCATATGCTTGTCAAAACTTTCAGGTGTGTACAATAAAAAGGGTGAATTTTACTCTTTGTGATTTATACATTAACTTTTAAAATGGAAAAACAAAGACTTAAAGAAATATAATTGACATCCTTGGTAAAAAGAAAAATTTATTGGATGGTCGATTAACAGTCGATTGGGCACAAAAGAAGAGAGAGTCAGTGAATTTGAGGATGAGTGAAATGCAAATTAAGCCACAATGAAATACTCCTTTACACTCACCAGACCAGTTAAAATTAGAAGACTGACAACGTCAAATTTTGGTGAGGATGTGGAGGAATTTTGGAATTCTCATAGTCTGCTGGTGAGAGTGTAAAATGTTAACCACTTTGGAAAACAGTGAGGCAATTTCTTTTCAAGTTAAACAGACACCTCTCTCTGGATTAGCATTGCGGCCCTAGGTATGAAAATGGAAGTCCACAGAATGTTTATAGCTTTATTTGTAATCGCCGCAAGCAGGAAACACCCAGGTGTTTGGATAAGAGGATAAACCCCAGATGAGAGGATAAACAAATGTGGAATCGTCATAGGATAATGCTGTGGTGGTATACTGTTCAGCAACAACATGGGTAAATCTGAAAACCATTCTAAGCAAAAGAACCCCCACACAAAAGTACATACTATAAGATTCCGTTTACAAGAGTCTCAAGAACAGGCAAAGCTTATGGGGGTAGAAATCAGAACAGGGTGCCTCGCAGTGGGGTGGTTAACTGGGAAGTGGCACGAGGGAACTTTTAGTGTGAAGGAGACGCTCTGCATCTTGCTTGGGTTGATAGTAACACAGGTGCACATTGGGTGACATTTGTCAGAACTCACCAAACTGTACACTTAAAAGCTATGCCTTTTTTAGTGTAAATTTTGTCTCCATTTAAAAAGAAAGAGTGCCTTATTAGAATGAAATCTTACCGTTTGTTGTTGTTTTTAATTACTAAGTACCCTGAGAACAGATCTCTGTCCCCAGCCGCTCTCCAGTTTTGACCTTTTTATGAATATGTGTCATTGTGGCGTGATGAGAGCACCAGGCTTTGGGTCAGTATCCTGTCTGCCTCCTACTTGCTAGGTAACTGGGTGAATTAATTTCCCTGTGCGTCAGTTTTCTCAGTGGTAAAATTGGGGCTATTAATCACACCTATCTCAGAAGTGAGGATTAGTATGTGCCAAGTCCTTGCTACAGAGTCACCACACAGTAAGGGCTTAATAAATGTTAGCTGTTATTACTGCTTTTATAGTTTAAATAACATAGAAACTTACATATATATATATATACACATGCCTTTAAGGGGTGGCAGGGTCCTTCCTCATCATGAGGGATTTTGTTATAGTAATCACAAACCCCAGTAGTTGAGAGAGGACTGATTTGAGAGATTGTGAACTGTGGTAGAGGCTGTTGCCGGCAGCATGCGTTCTCCATGTAATAATAGAAACTCCCAGCTGTGGCGGGACACGCTGCTGTCTAGCTAAGAGCCACATCCTGTGGCACAGTGACTAAGTGGAGGCAGTGGACAGTGGCGTTCGCAGCTAGTGACTTGCACCCTTGAACGAGGGCCTGCAGCGTGCCTGCCGTGTGGTCTTTCCTTTCCACTTGGGAAATACAGACAGGAGGCTGGGACCTGCAGCAGCTGTCCCAGGCCACAGACGGAAGCTGCACATTATGCAGAGAGAGAAGCCACTTTTGTCCTCAGCACCGTGAAGCTGCCACTTGGTCCTGTTTCTGTGCTTGGGCTGTTACTTGAAAGAGAAGCTTCTCTCATTTCAGCCACTGAATTTTGGGGTTTCTTTTAGCGGCTTCATTAGCCTAGTCAGTATCTTAATACCAGGATTTTCTGTGGAATCCAGCTAACAATAGGGATCCTATTATGTCTAGATCCTCACCACTATCTAATGCCATCTACACTCGATTAAACAAGACTGGAATAATCAAGGGGGAAGAAAAGGAAAACAGTTCCACTGTTAGGAAGCCAACCCTGTTGTTGGCCACTATTTACCTTTGAGGTGGAAATGAGAGCATTTGAGACGTAAATCCTTGCAAGGTAGAAATGGGTTTCCAACGAATGAACAGAAATTAAGCTTAAAAGAATTGATGGTCTTTTCTGAGAGGAGCAGGTTTGATCTAATTCCTAATTGTAGTTTGTCTAACTCCTACCCTAATCCCCAACTCCATTTTTGACACCAGATCACGAGAGAGCCAAGGGACCAAGTCAGCCCCAGTGATTGAGTGGGGAGGTCTACTTTTCACATGGATCTTGAATATCCTTCAACAAGAGAAGGAAAAGCATGTGGAGGTCCAGCCACATATGATGTTTCATAAAGTGGGACTCTAGTCAAGAGAGCAGCCCATACCAGGTGATTCAAGAGGGGACTGTAGTCCTGGGAGTGATAAGGGACAGCCACAGCAGGAAGCCACTGTGATCCTGGAGGAGGGCACAACAGAGCCCAGAGACAGAGAAGATGCAGCCATTGAGGAAGACTTGCTGGCAGGGGAGCCTGGAAATGTCATTTGCAGATTAGCAAAGGAGTTCTTCTCCACAAAAGTGTCAGGTTCTTGCAGAATTTTAAGAGATCTTCAATAAAGGGTAGATATTATTTACTCCTAATTCATAAATCTGCTCTATTAGCAGTGTTCTGTTTTGGTTGACTATATGTAGCCACCATTTCTACACCAAATTAGCAAGGAAAGAAATCTCCCAATTGGTGTTTGTTTACATGTCTCTAAAGTGACTGAAGTAGGCTAATTAAGGCTCATCTCTTCCATGGAATCCACTGAGTAGGGTAAGAGATACTGTCCTCCAGCCCTGGGTGCCCTATGATCTAATAGGAGAAATAGTGACTCTCCACAAATAACTATAATAAAAAGAAACACGATGCAAAATGGTATAAACTTAATTCCATATATGTAAATGCACACAGGGAAGGATCACTTTGAGTTGGGAATCAGGGAAGGATTTATAGAGAGACCAGCTGAGTTAGGTCTGTTTTCTGCTCACTGTCGCATCTCTAGGGGACAGCGGTGTGCTGGAGTTTCCTACCCCCTTCCCAGCTCCAATGACAGCACGTTGAGAGCTTTAGATCTGCCTTGGTGTGGGGGATGTTTACACCGAGGAACCATCAAATGCCACACACCAGGCTTCCCCCCCTGCAGAGCTGGTTTTGAACTCTTTCTGGGCATAGTGCTTGACATCCACAAACACTCAGACATCTGCTTACAGAATAAAGGCACAGGCGGCACAGGGCATGGGAAGTAGGCAGAATGTCCAGGCAAGGCGTGGGGCCCTCACGGCATGCCGTGGGCACTCACACTGGTCAGGAGGGGCTATGTCACGTTGCAGTAATAACCCCCAAGTCTCAGGAGGTATGGAGAACAAGGTTATTTCTTTTTGTTGTTTTCTTTCTTTGGTGAGGAAGATTGGCCATGAGCTAACGTCTCTGCCCATCTTACTCCATTTTGTATATGGGACGCCGCCACAGCACGGCTTGATAAGCAGCGCGTAGGTCTGCACCTGGGATCTGAACCTGTGGACCCCTGGCCGCCAAACCGGAGCACACGAACCTACCACTACACCCCCAGGCCGGCCCCACAAGGTTTTTGCTGGCTCTTACTTCCCGCCCATTGTGGGTCAGCCACTGGCACTTGCCTCACTCAGGTACTTTCTCGCTGACAGGCACCACCCTAGAGTGATGCTGTCTCCATGGTGGAGGGTTTTGCAGCAGCCCGTCAGTGCTCTGGCCTGGAAGGGACACATCCTGTGTGCTACCTCATTGGCTCAAGCTAGCCAAGCTTCCTGCTCCACAGTGTGCATCTGCCATCTCCCCGGAAGGTAGAGGAGGAAGAGTATTCGGTGGAGAGCGCTAATGATTACTGCAAAACTCAGTAATAGTTGCGTGGACTAAGAAAAGCTGGAGAGGTTGATTTGGGCCAGATTGTAGAGGGTTTGAAAGCCAAGCTGTGTGCACTGAACTTGATCCTGTGGAGTCAGTGGATCACTAGAATGAATGAGCAAATGTGTCCTTCAGACAGGAGTGGGAGGAGGACGATTCTGAAGGCCAAGAGACCATTACCAGCTGGCTCCATAACTAAGCCAGGTTTGAAGCTGGTGCAGAGAAAGAAGGGGCACAAAACGGAAACATGGAAGGAGCTGTGGGTGTGGGCTGGGCTGGGACAGCAACAGGAAGAATGTCGAGGATTGCAAACCTTGACGGATAGGAGACCAGAGTGACATAATAGCTTTCCACATAAAGAATTAAGTACTAGGAAAATCACTTTGAAATGTCCATCAGGTATTTAGAAATGCACATTTAGCACTCATTCCAAGCTCACATAGAAAATGAAGCGTCCTGGAGACCCTTTATAAACACTACTATCACTCTGTGGAGTTCTGACCCAGATTATGTGTAAAAAGCCCACGGTTCATTACCTCCGGTGATTCCCAGACCAAGTGAAGGGGAGCTGAGTAGATGAGAACCTCTAGGTGCTTCCTGAAGCCACCGCCCCCCCTTCCCCAGGTGCTGCCATGATCCACACACTTCAATCCAGCCCAGAAGCACGCTGTTTTGGAGGGACGTCACTGCCCTGCTTGAGGTGCCACCTCCAGCCTAGAGAGGAACCTGGACATGAGAAAGACCTGCCACAGGAGTCCTGCCCCACACCAAACAGGCAGACAAAGGGATCTGCAACACAGTTTAATATCTTCCCTTGTTTCCAGGAAAAAGATGTTGGCAAAGTATACTTTTTACCAGAATCTGCAACATTCATTGTCAAGTGAAAACATGCATAAAGGAAAGCAGGATTCCAGTGCTGCTCTGGTTTTAGAAGTTACTGGTGGCTGAGAACTCCTCATCTAGGAAAGGCTTGGAGACTCTTCGAACAGCTATCATGTTTATCCATCAAACTGGATCGCAGCAGCATAAATAACCCTATTTATATTTCCCACATAATCTGCCTGAGGTATGAGATTTCTCAGTGACCTGGTGATTTTTAAACACCAAGCCTCCCATCAGAGGTAAGTCCTCAGTTCTACACTCAACACACATTCCTGCCAGTACTCGCCACCCCTCTAAGCCAGGAAGCAGCTGCCCATAAAGCTGCAGCCAGACTATTCTAACACCCACTGTGTAACTATAAGAGGATGTAGCAAAGAATATCTCTTTGATGAAGGAGATACAGCTTAAAAAATAACCCCATCAACTCGTTAGTTCAGTGCCTGCAAACGTTTAGCAACGTTATAGATAAAAGTAAAAGGTTCAGATACATATAACTATAGGAAAAAAATCAGTGCATCCTCAATATTTCAGGAAGTTAAGGCCACAAAAGGAGGTGGTCAAGGAATCTTCATTTAGATCTGACCCTTGGCTATAGAAGCTAATAGAGTGGAGTCATAGGAAAAAAATGTGTAAATCCCACCACAAAATTACATCTGTGATCACTGGTTTACTCTTTTTCTGCATATATTTTTACCATGCTGAGTATTAGTAATATTGAACTGAAGGCTCTTTACATTTGGCTTACTCTTATTGATCAGAAATAAAGTACGGGGCCGGCCCCATGGCTTGGTGGTTAAGTGCGCGTGCTCCGCTACTGGCGGCCCGGGTTCGGATCCTAGGCGTGCACCAACGCACCGCTTCTCCGGCCATGCTGAGGCCGCGTCCCACATACAGCAACTGGAAGGATGTGCAACTATGACATACAACTGTATACTGGGGCTTTGGGGAACAAAAGGAGGAGGATTGACAATAGATGTCAGCTCAGAGCCGGTCTTCCTCAGCAAAAAGAGGAGGATTAGCATGGATGTTAGCTCAGGGCTGATCTTCCTCACAAAAAAAAAAAAAAGTATGGATGAAAAACTCAGGTGAAACTGGGGAGCCACAAAATTGAGACTTAGAGTTATGGTCCCTTTGCTGTCAATAAATGACGATCCGTAGAGGCCAGTGGCTGCATGGCGGCCCTCCAGTACAGGAAGCACATGTAGGTGCATGTCTACAGCCTCAGGAGCAGCTGCCATCCTTTTTTCTCAGTTTGCTCAGAAGTACATCCCCTGTTCCTATACATGCTTCCCTCCTTTGTAATTACTTGCATATGGCAACAAGTGAAGTGTGGGCTAATGAGGGAAGAAATAAGGGAGAGATGCTACTCTTCTGCTGTGGTCAAAAGCAACCACAAGAAGTTCGATTTCACAGCCCGTCTGAAACTTTGGCAGAACAGTAAAATTCTCTTTTAAGACAAGTATTTGAACAGAGTTTGTCACAACATGAGATAAAAGTTGCTCCAAAATATGACAATATAAATATTAAAATGAAGCCCCTCAATGAAATATGAAAATCTTTAACAAAAAATAGTTTATTGCACAAAATTTAAGGAATTCCCAAGCACGCTTAAATTTATAAAAAATCAACATGCTTTTTAAAGTTACAATTTGTTGTGCATGGCGACACCTTTCCCCTGAACAGCCCCAACCTGAGGACTCCCTTTTATGAGGAAACTTTTAATAGAAATGAATAACTTAAAACCACCAAGTTTTCTAGACCCTCTAAAACATTACCCTCAAGGATCCTATTATAACCTGAGACCACCATACAATGATGATGAAATGTGGATTCAGTGAACTTGTCTGAATAAGGCTCGGCATGTCTCAGACAACACAGCATTATTCACGTCACGGGGATCCTTGAGAAGGCTCCAGGACATGTCTCTTTCAGATACACTGGTCCCTTTCATTACTAGAAATCTTTACACATGACATTAAATTTTTGTTAAAAAAACAACTCCTGGAAGTAGGAATATATGTCGTGGTGACTTTGCAGGCCCATGGCTTTTGTGGTATACCTATACCAAAAAAAGTCTTTAAACTGAGAAAGAGTTTAATGAGAATCTTCCTACTGCAGTGTAGCACAGGCTGTCTTCCTAGCAGGCCCTGTCCTGTTACCTGGATCCCAGGCCAGAGTAAGAGCCAGTTTCACAGCCTGTCAAACACATGGCCTGTTATACCTTCCAAATAGTAGAACAGAGGTGTATAAATCTGTAAGATCCGTGGCATCTATCTGATGTGTACTGTGGAAAAATCAGTGATACACGTTGCAATAAGGTTTTTTTGGAACATAAGAAAAACAAGTAATGACATCATGAAGTGTCCAAGCCAACATTCTCTGCAGTGAAGACATGCCATACAGTATTCATCATACAAGATGGATAATATACACAAATATAATGCAATGGTGAGCCTGTTTTTATAAATACTCCAGACTTAACTGTTGTTTTCCATGAATAAATTCCTAATTTCCACTTCTGCCCAAAATAGAAGAATATTTCAAATGTTATTCACTGAAGAATCTAGTGCTGGGAGGTAGAAGTGCCAGTAAAGTCCCTTGGAGATAAAAAAAAAAAAAAAAACCCTCAACAAATCAAAAGCAGGCAATTTGAAAGTCCAGCTTCCTCTTTTGGGTGACTTGTTAAGGAAGCCTAAAGGTGATGTCAGCTTGAACACAAGACCCCAGACAGAGAACAGTGAGCCACACATGAAAGCTCGAGGAGCACAGTGGGCAGGGAGACAGCCAGAGAGCTGAAACCACAGACAGGCTGGGCGCTTGCGGAACTGAAAGATGGGGACTGACCACATGGGCACAAGATGATGACAGAAAACTAGAGGTGCTGCTGCTGAGGGCGTGCACACACATGCACATGGAGAGTAACTAAACAAAGGAAAAAGGGGTGAGGAACAGAGATTGGCTTTCACGTGATGGAGATATTCAAAATTAGTTTATCCTTTCCTAAGAGAAAAAATACATAGTGAACGGCATTCACTGGAAGACCTTCTATAAGCAAGGAGAGAGAAAGCAGCTACAGGATGAGGCTACGTGTTATTTCTTGGTTTTAAATTTAAACAGGATATTGCAGCCAAAATAAATAAGAATGTAAATTATCATTTTTCTTTTCTAATGGTACAAAAACAATTTTGTCAAAACCAATTACCGGGCCGGCTCCGTGGCTTAGCGGTTAAGTGCGCGCACTCTGATGCTGACGGCCCGGGTTCGGATCCCGGGAGCGCCCCGAGGCACCACTTCTCCGTCCAGCGCGAGGCCGGGTCCCACGTACAGCAACTAGAAGGATGTGAACCTATGACATACAACTATCTACTGGGGCTTTGGGGGGAAAAAACTGAATAAATAAAATCTTTAAAAAAAAAAAAAAAAAAAAAAACCAATTACCAATTTAAGATGAAAAGTAGGATGTAATTATAATGAAGATTTCAAGTATTATTTCAAGATTAACCCTGTACAAATGATATATGTATTTTAGAAGTTCCAAAACTTGCTAGGGAATTTTTTGAAACACTAAACATCTTTGAGGTTAATGCTACTTTAACCTTATCAATTAACCTTCTAACAGCATATTATAAGAAAACACAAACAGCTTAAAAATACCATACTGTTTTCTCCACAAAAGAGACACAAGTAATATATTGACACTAGTGTGTCTGGCCTGATCAGTAACACTTCAAAACTTCATCTTCAGACCAGCATCTGCACAGGAGGCCATGTGGACCCATTCTCTCTCTTCTCTAACTTCTAACAATAAATATTATTTTAGATTTTCTTAGCAAACTAGGAGGACAAACTTAAAACCTCAAATCTCACAGTCAGTCAGTTTCTGCAGCGTTGAATTATTTCAGGTGGAAAAATGTATACAAGTAAATCTCACATACTCAGGGTGCCTGATTTCAAATAAGGCATTCTACTACGGAGAGCAGGGGAAACCTCAGCCGCCTTTCCTCAGAGTGCAGACCTGCCCCTTCTAGAAACCTCACTGCTCTCCAGATTAGAGGTTAAAGGACCTTCTAGGCCTTCTGAAGTCACCACTAAGAGTCCAGCTTGTCTTGATGACCACAAAGGCCCTGGTGAATGTTTTCATGTGGGGCACAGAGTGTGAGGCCTGGAGAAGCCTTGTTACCTGGGTTGGAGCCCTGCAGAGAGCTCCACCCTCTTCCTCCTCACCTTCTCTCCTCTCCTGTGGCCTCTCCCCGCACCTCACATGTCAGGTCAGTGCATGGTGACGTCAGCGTCACCATGCAGAAGGTGGGCATCCTTCTGGCTGCCAGGCCTGCCGGGAGGTCAGCTAAGGTGGGTGAGGCTGTGCAGGGCCAGGGGTCAGATGGGTGGGCATCGTGCACTTATGACAAAGAAAAGACCCTCAAAAAGAAAGTGAAATGAAAACAACAAAGAAGCCTCTCTATCTTAATAATATTTGGTTTTAGAAGGCAGAGTAAATAAAATAATTATATTTCTTAAAATATAATTTCCAACTGATGTCCCTAAATCCTACATGTACATTATTTCCTGACAGCAGATTTTCAAAAAGCAATCAATAAAAAGACAATTCGAGTCATTCTTAAATAATATGAGCATATACTTTTTAAAGATTAGATTATGATTTTCAGTATTTATATACACATCCTATGGTGGGATGGCTATTGAAAATAAAATAAAATAAAAACCAAAGGTGCAAATAAAGTTTCATTTCTGCGGGGAGGTAAAGCTATTACTGAACCAAAGAAGAATGTGAGAAACCAGACCCAGCCATGCCGGGTGTTTCCACCAGTGACCAGCTGGTTGGCGTTACCCTCAGAGAGCAGTGTCTACTGTCACTCGTAAGATACCTCCTCCGGCAAATAACCCTTCAGACACATTCAAAAATTTCTCACTGAGATCTAAACTAGGCTTTTAAGATTTGGTCATTTTGTGGGGAAAGCTAGTTGTGATCTGCAAATGACTATTTCTCTAATCCTTGCCTCTTGTTCTGTTATTTTGCTCCTTATAAAGGCAAACGCAGAAGTTAAATTTCATCTCTTAGAAAAACATAGAGCACAAGGTCAAATAAATAATATTGATAAGAGAATATTCCTCTGGGTAGTTACAAACACTTGGGGTTGGGATGCTCAGTGGCCACTGCTCCAAGCCCCTCTCTGGAGGCCCTGCTCTGGCCATGTCGTGCTGTGTCTCCCCTGGGGTTCGCATGATCCCCAGGGGGAGCGGGGCCAGTGGCAGGGTCCCCCTGAGTCCACGAGGACAGCGACTCATGCACGGTGACTGTATGAGCCTCCATCTGGCGCTGCAGGCTGTCCATCTCTTGCCTGGGGAGATAGGGGAGGCAAAGGAAGAAACACCAGTCAGACGAGAGCCAGAAAAGACACCGCTGCTTCCCCCAGAGGCAGGGCCATCACAGACGCCAATCCTAACAAGCTTGAACTAGACAGCAGTTTGCTCACACATCTGTGGTGCCTTCAGGGACCAACAGAACCTCTCAATTTGGACGAGCAACAATGATGCGGTCACAGAACTTAAGGGACTCTTGGCATTTTTCTCTGCACTGTGCAGAGGCCAACAGGCTGCGAGACTCCGCGCACAAGGGCCTCTGATCAGGGAGAATGTGGGAAAGACAGAGTCGAGGGTCACACATGGCTTCCACTCACAGGGTCAAAAAAGATGTCCCCATGTGGCCACACCCACCAAACGCTGGCCTCATGCTGATGGGTGCAAAAATCCAGTTTTGGGGTTTCTAAGGGCTCAGGTGGTCCTGGTGACTTAAGGGCTTCTCAGGGTCCTTTAGCTCTAGGCAATTCTCACCTTACAATGTGAATTGAGAGGCTGAGTGGCCCCAGTTAACACAGACCTGCTCAGCCTTTGCTAAGCATTCAATGCTGGCAATAGGAAAGATTCTTCAAGTTAAACATGCAATTTATTTTTAAATACTAAGTGAAATGGAGCACAGAACACAGATCATACTTCAGTTGCTGGAGACAGCTGTTGAGATTCTTGAGGGGCTCCTTGCTCACGGCAGGTGGGGGCCTCAGCAGCTCCTCCAGCAGCGAGGCTGGAACGGGGCAATCGGGGATCTTAACTGGCGTCACGGGGCTGGAAGAGGTGGCCTCGCCTTTCAGTTCCTTCCTCTGATTTGAAAAGCACAGTTAGCTCTCACTTGAGGTTGACACCACCGCCCCCTCCCCTAATCGGTCTCCACCATCATAAGAACTTTCAGAGGTGCCTCCCCAGCTCCACACAGGCCTTCCAGGAAGGCACGTCCCACGCGTCCTGTACCAGCAAGAGCCAGCAGGCACAGGGGTTCAAGAAATGCTGGCTGATAGAAAACTGTCTTCCTAATGCACATAATGGAGCACAAACAAGGCAGTCCGCTCCTCAGGAGGACAGAGCTGAATCCTAAAGGAGAACTCCCACGTGGGCTTCCATGAAAGACCAAGACCTTGACACTGAGTTTCCCTAAGAAATTAATTCAACTTTCCGACTCATAAGACTCCGCTTGCTAGGACTTCAAACTTTTTACAGAGATAGGCAAATGATGCTAAATAAACCTCTGAATCTGAGCAATTTCTTTGCACCTGGAAAATACTCATATAGACTGAGTAGGAAAACAAATGCCGGGTATGTAGACAATCTGAGCAGTGCTCATGATGGCAGCTGCAGGGGTCCCTGGGCCCCCAAGCCCATTCTGGCAGCTGCTGTGTGCTCACTGAGCTCACCAAGTGGGCTGGGGGCTCTTGTTACCACAAGCAAACGATGCCTTCATTTGGTTTATAAAGCATATTACAACAAAATGGCAACTGAATTCATGAAAAGCAAACATTCTGTTGGAAAAGGTACCAAAATAACAAGATTTGGCCTGTTGTCTGAGCAGAATACTCCATCATCATTTATTTTCACCCAATAGTTGCTCAATGTTGGTTAAATATAACTTTATGTCTGAATGACTAGAAAATCCACCAACCTCTTGCTCAAACAAATCGACAGTGAACCCAGTTAATCTGAAAAGGGCAGGGAGCCTGATACCGTCTTTGCTGCACTGCGTCGCAGGTCTAGCTGGAGCTGTTGGTTTTGTTGAAGTAGAGTCTTCATGTTGTTCTTCAGTTCCGACACTTTAGCTTGAAGCATAAACTTATCTTTCTGGGTCATGGACAGATCTTCCCGTACCATCTCCAACTCAGATTTGATATTCTAAGGGAAGTAAAGTCAGATTTTTAAAAGCTAAAAGATCCTCAACATACTGCTAAGATTCTTAGTTTGTATGTCACAATTCTAATGGGCTAAAAACAGAACCCTGATTTTTATGTGATGAAGCATGTGATGTGCTCGTCTCAGCACAACTTCCTCTCCAGTAGTCTAGACTGTGAAGCATCCAGTTATATTCATGTCCTCAGTGTTCTCACTGAAATTCCCATTTCAGACCTCTGCCAAGGAACCAGCAATATTCCCACATCTACATTCTACAATGAACCCCAAGAGTCATCTGTTTCAATTTCAAGGTCAGCTACTAGAATAAGCCTAACCATTACTAAGAAAGGACATAAATCAGTTCTAATTGTTACTCAAGCCATCCATTTACAAGGAGGAATCTTGGCAAGAGAGATGTTCCTGCTCCTTTCCTCAAGTATTCAAAACTGTACATTTTCTTTGTAGAGAAGTTTATCACAGATTAGTGAACTTTTCACATGTACTGTCTCATTTATTGGAGTTAATGAGATCCCATTCCTGATGCATTTCACATAGCTCAGCCCAGGGCATGGTCTCTGCTCAGCCTCCTTCAGCTGCATGACCTGAACTTCTTTCTGAAATGGGATTATGTCTGCAGAATGGTTTGGTGGGAGTATTCAATTCATCGAGAACTCCTGTTATGCACTTAACACACTGCCTGGCACAGTAACTGGACTAGGGTTATGATTATCAACTACCTTATGAAATGCTGCCTCTGACTTTCTGCCCCAGGGCCCTTGAAGAACAGATACCTGTAATAGCTGCTGTATTCCATCCAATTCTTTTTTACTCTGCTGTTCAGTCAAGTCCAGCTGCTGCTTCAAGGACTGGATTTCTCTCTCTTTCTGATCCACCTCCCATTTGAGATTTTCCATCTAGAGAGAAAAAGTCACATGACCAAAAGAATAGTAAGGTAGCTTTCTTGCACAATCAAGTTGCTCTAACTATATCTCTGTGTATTGTTTAATATCATACTTAGAAAAAATAAATATCCCTTTCCAAGCAGACAGGGAATGAAGGAATTGAATGTGTCAACTAGCACAGTGTAGCTCTGTAAACTCTGGTAACTGCAGATGTAAAGCCGCCTCAGCAGGTCACCTCTTGGTTTCCTACGGGCTGCTTGCTCAGCTGCTCGTCCAGCTGCTTCTGCAGGAGCTGAAGCTGGGTCCGGGCCTCTGCCAGCTCCACCTGGAACTGTGCTATTTCCTTGGAATGTTTCCCCTCCTGAATCCTAGCATAAAAACAAGGAAGAATGAAATTACAGCGTTCTTCCAACTTACCCTCCCACTCCTAAAATGTTATCAGTTGAATGCTATCCACCCTGGGTGAGACTCATAATGACAAAAACTCACAAACTGCTCACCTTGGGAAGAGACTGTTCTAGGAGCTTTGCAATGCACTGTCTTGACTGACCTTCACAAAACCATCCAAGGGAAAGGCTTTGTTAGCCCATTTTAAAGATCATGGTGGGAGGGAAAGTGCCACGGAGACCAATGCATGTGCAGTGCCCAACATGCATCCCCGCACATGTCCAACTTGAGGCTGCCCTAATTAGAGCCTACAGTGAGCCTCGGTGGTGGGGCACAGCCCTTGGGGAAAGTGTTCCTCACACTGGGGCTCTCTCTGTTCTCAACGTAGGACCAGTAAGGTGCAGAGTAGGGACAGCAGCACCGGGACTGAAATTTTACAGTTAACCTACAGGCTTCTTGAGACACGAATCAGATACTCTCCTTCTTAGATCTGCCTCTAGAGTACCCAGTGATTTGCTAGAACATAGGTTACCTTAACGTGGTGAATGTGCTAATCAGAGATGGAAGAGAAGAATCCTTATGAGGACATCTGGTGGCGCTGCTGCCGCCCACCCCAGAAGAAAGCGGGGACCCAGCCCTCTGCCCGCCTAGGCACTCACTGGAGACCATCAGCCTCTGCCTGCAGCTTCTGCACCAGGTGTTCCTTGGCCTGCAGCTCCTTCTTCACCTCGCTCAGCTCTAAGATGGCAGCCTTAAAGTGGCGGCGGTTATGCCCTGCTTCCGCCTTGGCAGCAGCAACCTAGAGGGAAGGGACCTGCACCATTGAAACAAAGGCAAGAGCGACACAGAGCGCCCAGTGTGGCGTCCACGCCGGGGAGCCCTGCCTAGTCCCACTCATGTCCCAGTGCTCTGCAGACTTCTCTTCCAAAGCTTTTCAAGTTCCCCAGAAAGAATCAAAGTACCTAACATATGCTTGCAACACAATACACCTACTAGCTCCTGCTGAATGAACAAACGTTCAAGATTTTCTGGGTCTAAACTGTTTTTATAGTGTTTTTCAAGTATATCTGCATATTTTTTATTAAATTTATTCATAGTTCATGTATTTTGAGAGGACTCTCTTCCATCATACCATCTAACTGTAATTAAGCTATTGATTTTTGTCCATTTATGATGTAACTTGCCTTTTCATAGATAACAATAGTTTCTCTCAAGGTTTCTGAGGAGATAAGCAAATTCTGAGAATATAACAAAATTTTCCATTTTCTTTTCCAATAACTTAGTTTTCTTGTCTAATTGCACTAGCAAGCACTTCATTTAAAAAAAGTTTAAAAAAAGTTTAATGAAAATATAATATATAACAGAGGAATATAGAAAGAACTCTTATAAGTAAGTTCAAAAAAAAACTTCCAGGAGAAGAATTACCAGTGATTGTTACTAGGTAGAGATTTGAGATGATCTGTACTTTAATCTTCATGCACTTTCTTTTTTCTTACTACCATCTACTATTTTTACCATCAGGACAATCAGACTAAATGCATTTAGAGAAATAAATAAGCACCATTCACAATTACTGCCTTTAAAAGAAAGAAATTAGGGCCGGCTCCGTGTCTTAGCGGTTAAGTGCACGCGCTCTGATGCTGGCGGCCCCGGTTCGGATCCCGGGAGCGCCCCGAGGCACCACTTCTCCGTCCAACGTGAGGCCGAGTCCCACGTACAGCAACTAGAAGGATGTGAACCTATGACATACAACTATCTACTGGGGCTTTGGGGGGAAAAAACTGAATAAATAAAATCTTTAAAAGAAAGAAATCAAGTCACATATACATCATTTTCCCACAGAACTTTTAGTTATGAATTTCCTAGTTATAACTTCTTTAGGGTGGGAATAAAATTAGTAAGTGATATGTGAGCACAGAGCAAAAGCTCAGAAGGTGGGGAACAGGGAAGCAGAGAGTGTAGCTGACCCAGCTCAGAGCTGTCAGATCCGCAGCAGCTCTTCACAAGGACTCAACATCGACTGCAGACGAGGCAGATGTGAGCCAAGAACAAGCCGGTAATGGTTCACATTAAAAATTCTTATCATGTCTTAAAACTACTTCTCTTATTTTTTTCTTTAAATTTTATTTATTTATGTTTTCCCCCAAAGCCCCAGTAGATAGTTGTATGTCATAGCTGCACATCCTTCTAGTTGCTGTATGTGGGACGCGGCCTCAGCATGGCCGGAGAAGCGGTGTGTTGGTGCACGCCAGGATCCGAACCCGGGCTGCCAGTAGCGGAGTGTGCACACTTAACTGCTAAGCCATGGGGCCGGCCCTACTTCTCTTTTAAAAGAATGTTTTCCTGTGTCACCCAAGAAATGAAGAACAATTTTTCTATCCCTATTACTTCATCACAGAGAAACTTTTAAAGGATGTGGCAAAACCTAAGTCATGCACACCCTTGCACACACGTGCACGCAGCAAACATGTCCTGAGCATCTGCTCAGTCCAGCCCTGGGGACGTGAGAGTAAATGAGCCACAGCCCTTGCCCCAGGAGGCTTACATTCTCTGCAGCCGGCTGAGTGGGTCTGCTTCTGTGGGTCGGGGAGCGTGCACAGGGTAGGACCGTGTTGACAGGGTGTGTGGGCCTGTGGGTAGTGAGGCTTGTCAGCTGCAGCACACTTATGCTTCTCAAACAGCCACATAGGGGACTGGCCCCACCTTCCAACGCCTGAAACAACTGTGTGCTGCCACACCTAGGCTGGCCCCGCCCAGCAGCACTCCTGAGAGGTCTGACAACAGCCTTGCAGGCCGGAGGTCTACAGCAATTGTGAGCCCCTGAGCCTAGCAACGAGCCATGCTAGGGGCCTACTCACTTAACAGAAAAACTGCAGCAGGAATGTGCTATTAGACCTTGCAGCAAACTGTACCGGGGCTCCCCATGCCCAATAAAGTGACTGAAGGGACCACAGCAGCCACATGTGGCTGATCATTACAACCAGCCAGCCAGGAGGGCAGCCTAGCCTCCCCGTGCACCTGCAGCAAAAGCAACCCTGCCACAACAGAAGGACACATGTAGCCTACACAGGGGACACGCCTGGACCATTTGGAACTGGTGACCGAGAGGGAAGCACACTGCTGGGCCTCATAAGGCATCTCTTACATAAGGCCACTTCTCCAAAACCAGGAGATGTAGCTGATCTGCCTAAAACATAGATATAAGCACAGAGAAAGAGGCAAAATGAGGAGACAAAGGAATATGTTCCAAATAAGGGAACAGGACAAATCCTCAGAAAAAGAACTAAATGAAACAGAGGTAAACAATCTATCTGATAAAGAGTACAAACTAATACTCATAAGGATGCTCGACAATCTCAGGAGAAGAATGAATGAATTCAGTGAGAACTTCAACAAAGAATTGGAAAATATAAAAAAGAACCAATCAGAAACGAAGAATACCATACTGGAAATGAAAAATTCACTAGAGGGATTCAGTTGGAGAGTAGATGATACAGAACGGATCAGTGAGCTGGACTAGAGGAAATCACCCAAGCTGAACAGATAAAAGAAAAAAGAATTAAAAACAACGAGGACAGTCTAAGGGACCTCTGGGACAACATCAAGTGCACTACCATCCGTGTTATAGGTGTCACAGAAGAAGAGAGGACAAAGGGGCAGAGAATCTATTTGAAGAAATAACAGCTGAAGACGTTCCTAAGGAAGGAAACAGACATCCAGGTACAGGAAGCACAGAAAGCACCAAACAAGATAAACCCAAAGAGGCCCACACCAAGATATAGTATAATTAAAATGTCCAGAATTAAAGAGAGAATCCTAAAAGCTGCAAGAGAAAGGCAACAAGTTACATACAAAGGAAACCCCATAAGGCTATCAACTGACTTCTCAGCAGAAACCTTACAGGCTAGAAGGGAGTGGCACGATATATTTAAAGCACTAAAAGGAAAAAACCTACAGCCAAGAATACTCTACAGGCAAGGTTATCATTCAGAGTGGAAGGAGAGATAAAGAGTTTTCCAGACAAGCAAAAACTAAGAGAGTTTATCACCAAGAAACCAGTCTTACAAGAAATGCTAAAGGGACGTAAGTGGAAAAGACCACTAATAGGAATAAGAAAATTATCAAAAAAACCCAACAACAATAAAATCACTGGTAAAGGCAAACATATAGTAAAGGTAGCAGATTAACGATCTATGAGTCTAACATGAAGGTAAAAAAACAAAAGTACTAAAATTATCTATTTCCATGATATGAGGATAATGGATACACATGCACAAAAAAAAGGTTAAATATGATATCAAAAACATAAAACGTGGGAGGAGGGGAGTAAAAAAGTAAAGCTTTTAGCAAGAGGTCAAACTTAAGAGACCATCAACTCAATATAAATTGCTATATATGTAGGTTATTATACATGAACCTCATGGTAATCACAAACCAAAAACCCATAAAAAATACACAAAAAATTAAGAGAAAGAACCCAAACATAATACTAAAGAAAGCCATCAAACCAAAAGGGAAGAGAATAAGAGAAGAAGAAAAAGCTACTAAAACACCCAGAAAAAAAGGAACAGAATGGCAATAAGTTCATACTTATCAATAACCACTTTAAATGTCAATGGACTAAATGCTCCACTCAAAATGCATAGGGTGGCTGTTTGGATAAAAAAACAAGACCCATATATATGCTGCATCCAAGAGACACACTTCAGACCTAAAGACACTCACAAACTACAAGGGAAGGGATGGAAAAAGATACGCCATGCAAATGGCAATGAAAAGAAAGCTGGGGTAGCAGTACTCATATCAGACAAAATAGACTTTAAAATAAAAACTGTAACAAGAGACAAGGGCACTACATAATGATAAAGGGAACAGTCCAACAAGAGGATATAACACTTGTAAATATCTATGCATCCAACATAGTGGGACCTAAATGTATAAAGCAATTACTAACAGACATAAAAGGAGAAACAGCAACACAATAATAGTAGGGGACTTGAACACTCCACTTACACCAATGGATAGAATGGATAGATCATCCAAACAGAAGAACAATAAGGAAACACTGGCCTTAAATGACACATTAGACTACATGGACTTAGTAGATATATACAGAACATTCCATCAAAAACCACAGAATACACATTTTTTTTTTTTGCTTGAGGAAGATTAGCCCAGAGCTAACACCTGTGCCTATCCTCCTCTATTTTGTATGTGGGTCAGCACCACAGCATGGCTGATGAGTGGTGTAGGTCTGCACCCAGGTTCCGAACCCATGAACCCTGGCTGCCAAAGCAGAGTGCGCTGAACGTAAGCAGTAGGCCATGGGGCTGGTCCCAGAATACATGTTCTTTTTGAATGTACATGGAACATTCTCCAGGATAGAGCACATATTAGGCGACAAAACAAGTCTCAATAAATTTAAGAAAACCAAAATAATACCAAGCATCTTTTCTGACCACAACGGTATGAAACCAGAAGTCAACTACAGGAAGAAAATCAGAAAAGGCACAAATATGTGAAGATTAAACAAAATGCTACTGAACAATGATTGCGTCAACAAAGAAATCAAAGGAGAAATCAAATACCTGGAGACAAATGAAAATACGACATGCCAAAATTTATGGGATATAGCAGAAGTTCCAAGAGGGAAGTTTATAGCAATAGAGGCCTACCTCAACAAACAAGACATATCTCAAACAAACAATCTAACGAGGGCCGGCCCCGTGGCTTAGCGGTTAAGTGCGTGCACTCCGCTACTGGCGGCCCGGGTTCAGATCCCAGGCGCGCACTGATGCACTGCTTCTCCGGCCATGCTGAGGCCTCGTCCCACATACAGCAACTAGAAGGATGTGCAACTATGACATACAACTGTCTACTGGGGCTTTGGGGGAAAAAAGGAGGAGGACTGGCAATAGATGTTAGCTCAGAGCTGGTCTTCCTCAGCCAAAAGAGGAGGATTAGCATGGATGTTAGCTCAGGGCTGATCTTCCTCACAAAAAACAAAACAAAAAAAACCAATCTAACGTGCACCTAAAGGAACTGGAAAAAGAAGAACAAAGAAAGCCCAAAATCAGTAGAAGGAAGAAAACAGTAAAAATCAGAGCAGAAATAAATGAAACCGAGACTTAAAAAAGAATAGAAAAAAAATAAATTAATGAAACCGAGAGCTGGTTCTTTGAAAAGATAAACAAAACTGACAAACCTTTAGCTAGACTCACCAAGAAAAAAAGAGAGAAGGCTCAAATAAGTAAAATCAGAAATGAAAGAGGAGAAATTACAACGGACACCTCAGAAATACAAAAGATTAAGAGAATAGTACGAAAAGCTATATGCCAACAAATTAAATAATCTAGAAGAAATGGATAAATTCTTAGAATCATACAACCTTCCAAAACTGAATCTAGGAGAAATGGAGAATTTGAATAGACCAATCACCAATAAGGAGATTGAAACAGTAATCGAAAACCTTCCAAAAAACAAAAGTCCAGGACCAGATGGCTTCCCTGGTGAATTCTACCAAACATTCAATAACTTAATACCTATCCTTCTGAAAATCTTCCATAACATTGAAGAGGAGGGGAAGCTTCCTAACTCATTCTATGAAGCCAATATTACCCTGATAGCAAAACCAGACAAAGACAGCACAAAAAAAGAAAATTACAGGGCAGTATCGCTGACGAACATAAATACAAAAATCCTCAACAAAATACTAGCAAATCGCATACAACAATACATTAAAAAGATTATAC